GGCATGGAAAGATGGGAGTAAGAGGAAACTGGGATTGATATGTAAAATGAGAATGTTTCTAAATGAATTGAAAAGCATTATCTGAATTTCTAGCTGGGCAGTGGTGTCACAGACATTTAATTCCAGCACTAGGGTGGTTGACTTGTGAGTTTGAGGCCAGGATGGTATACAGAGTAAATTCCAGGGCAGCCAGAACTGCACAGTGTGTGTTGTAATGCCTCCTAATTCAACTACAATTTTAAAAATTGGGCCATATTTCTCTTTTGGTCAATTTTACTGAATTATTTTCTTAATCTGATTAATCTTTTTAAATAACTCTTCATTGATTCTATGCATTTTTGTTTTTGAGTTTTTACATTGTTAATTTGATTTTTTTCTTCCTAATTAGTTTTTTGTTAATGTTTTGTTTTTAAGAAAAGCATAGCCTTGGTTGTATAGGAATTTACTATGTACAACAGGCAGGCCTTGAACTCACTAATATCTAACTGTCTATGACTCCTGAGTACTAGGATTAAGAGCATGTACAAACATACTCAGCCTTCCTCCTATCTACTTTTTTTGAGACAGGGTTTCTCTGTGAAACTTTGGAGCCTATCCTAGCCCTCACTCTGGAGACCAGGCTGGCCTCAACTCACAGAGATCCACCTGCCTCTACCACCCGAGTGTTGGGATTAAAGGTGTATGCCACCAATGCCCAGCCTACTTTTTCTGATATTATTTGTTCACTTTTGAAGATTTTTAGGTGAAATATTAACCTATTAATTTTAGATTTCTCAAAATTCTTATATCTTGCCAGCTCTCATAGTGCTGAAAGGTGCTATGTGGGTTACTAGAAGAAAAAAGTAAGAATCAATATTACCCAGCTCCAAACTGTGCAAGTTACAAGGACAACATGCCTGGAAGTCATATAAACTAGTGCATTCATTTTCATTTTAAGGCCTGTTCCCTGAGAGGAATCCAAACTTGGCACCATTATCAGGCTAAGGTCCTCTGCCTAGACATATAATCAACCTTGGGGGAGAATCTACTACTGTTCTTCTGCCACATGGGCATGGTATTAATCAACTTCAAACAATGTCATGATACCTATAGATTAATGCATCTCTCAACCCTCATCAGAGAAACACCTAATGTGGTAGATGATTATTAACACAGAGAGCAACAGCTGCTCAAGCACAGAGCAAAAAAAGACTATGCTCAGCCATACATGGAACAATTATATCTCACTGCTTCTTCCTAAGGCTTAGGGATCATTAGGGAAGACAAACAGAAAAAGTAAGATGTGGTGTGTGACTACTAGGAAACAGAATCTCATGAACACAGCAAGGCATCTGAACATGTCTCCTTACAGCAGTTGTGACGACATTTACAAGACCCATGTAAGTTTAAGCCAGACAGAATCACAGTATGGAGAGAGTAGGTGGGTACAAAGTCCCAAAGGTGGTTAGGAAGCTACTGGCACTACTTATCTCATCAAAGAAATTGAGTCACCTTTCTTTAAGGGTATAGATCCTGGTAAGTCAAACATAATCCAGAAAAAAGCCAGACAAACAAAACATGTCTCCACCACCATCAGAGATTTGCTTACAGTAGATGATGACAAATACTGAGGCTACAAAAGCTGAAGGTACACATAGAGGTCTTAGAGAGATCATGGATACAAGGAACAGATCTAAACATAATAAAGGCAATATAGAGTGAGCCAACTGCATATATCAAACTAAATGTAAAGAAACTCAAAGCAATCCCACTAAAATCAGGATGAAGACAAGAAAGTCCACTCTTGTATATCTATTCAATATAGAACTCAAAGTTCTAGCTGGAGAAATACAACTCAAAAGGAGATCAAGGGGATACAAATTAGAAGGGAAGAATTCAAAACTTCAAATATTTACAGATGATATGATAGTATACTTAAGTCATGCCGACTACTGTACCAGGAAACTCTTAGAGATGATTCACCACATTTAGTAATGTGGCAGGATACAAGATTAACTAAAACAAAAATCAGTAACCCTCCTATATAAGAATGATAAAATGGATGAGAAATAAATCAGAGAAACATCACTCTTCAAAATAGCCACAAATAACACAAAATAACTTGGGGTAATGGTAACCAAACAAGTATAAATCTATATGACAAGAACTTTAAGTCTTTGAAAAAGAAATTGAAGAAGATATCAGAAAATTGAAAGATCCCCCATGCTCTTGAATAGTTTGGATATACATAGTAAAAGTGGCAATCTTACCAAAAGCAATCAACACATTCAGTGCAATCCCCATTAATATCCCAAACAATTCTTCACAGATCTTTAAAGAATACTTAATTTCATATGGAAAAACAAAAACCCTGTCAGGACACCATCCCTGACCTCAACCTCTACTATAGAGCTACAATAATAAAAACAGCTTGGTATTGGATTAAAACTGGCATGTGGATCAAAGGTATTGAATCAAAGACTCAGACACTAATCCAAACACCTATGAACACCTGATTTTGTTTACAAAAAAAAACAAAATTGTGCAATGGAAAGAAAGAAAAAAACTTCAACAAATATTGCTGGGATAACTGGTTGCTAACATATAGAAGAATACAAATAGTTCCATATCTATTGCCATGCACAAAACTCAAGTCTAATTGAATCAAAGACCTCAACAGAAATCCAGTTACACTAAACCAGACAGAAGAGAAAGTGGGAAGTAACCTTGAACATTTAGGCACAGAAGAACACTTCCTAAATATAACAGCAATAGGACAGACTGTGAGAGCAGCAACCAATTAATGGGACCTCCTAAAACTGAAAAGCTTCTCTAAAGTAAAGGACATGGTCAACAAGATGAAACAGCAGCCTAAAGACTGGGAAAATATCTTCACCAACCCTACACATGACACAGGACTGACCTCAAAAATATACAAAGAACTCAAGAAACTAGACACCAACACACCAAATAATCTAATTTAAAAAATCAAGTACAGATCTAAACAGAGAAATCTCAACATAAGAAACTGAAATAGCCAAGAGACATTTAAGGAATTGAACAATATCCATAGCCATCAGGGAAATACAAATAAAAACAACTCTGAGATACCATCTTACAACTATCAGAATGGCTAAGATCAAGAACACTCATGACAATGGAGTAAGGACAACACACCTATATTGCTAGTGGGAGTGCAAACTCATATAGCCACTATGGAAATCAGTATTGCTGTCTCAGAAAATTGGGAATTAATCTACCTCAGGACTCACCAATACCACCCTTGGGTATATACAAAAAGGATACACAATCATACCACAAAGACATTTGTGCAAGTTTGTTCATAGCAGCATTATTTGTAACAGCCAGATTATGGAAACAACCTAGATGCCCTGCAACCAAACAATGGATAAAGAAAATGTAGTACATTTACACAATAGAGTATTACTCAGCTGTAAAAAAAAACAAAAAACAAAAAACAAAAAACAAAAAAAAAGTCATCTTGAAATTTGCAGGGAAATGGATGGAATTAGAAAAAATCCTGAGTGAGGTAACCCAGAGCCAGAAAGACAAGAACTCACTCATAAGTGATTATTGGATGTAAAGGGGAAGATTAACAGGCTACAGTCCACAACACCAAAGAAACTAGGCAAAAAGGAAACCCTAAATGGGACACACATTGAGGGCCCCTGGAAAGGAAAATAGTTAAAATCTCCTGAGTATACAGGGCAGGCTGGTAGAAAGGAAGGGATGTGGAATGGGATCATGAGGGATCAAGAAGGCAGATTTGTGGGAGGAGTGGAGAGTGGGAGCAATGAAAGAGATATCTTGATAGAGGGAGCAATTATGGGGCTAGGGAGAAATGTGATGCTAGGGAAATTCTCAGGAATCCATGAGGATAACCCCAGCTAAGAATCCTAGCAATTTGCAAAGGGAGTCTAAATGGGCCTTCCCCTTTAACCAGATTAATGATGACCCTAATTGCCATCACAGAACCTATATCCAGTAACTGAGTGAAGCAGATACAGTAATCTATAAACAAGCACTAGACTGAGGTCCTGGAGTTCAGCTGAAGAGAGGTAAAAGGAATCATATGAACAAGGTGGGGTCAAGAGCATGACGTGTAAAACCACAGAGACAGCTGACCTGAACTATTGACTGAAGGCTTGGGAACCTGCATGAGACCGAACTAGACCCTCTGAATGTAGGTGAAAGTCATGATTCTGTATACATGCATATATACAATAATAATCAAAGACAAGTGGCTAACAATTGAGGAATGGGAAAAGAATGAAAGGGGCACAGGTGGGCATCTGGAAAGGAATAGATGAGAAAAGGGAGGAATTGTGTAATTCTATTTCAATTAAAATATATTTTAAACAAGTATAAAATTGTGAAAGCACTAATGAAAATTTTCTTTAGAAAACATATATGTCAAGAAGAAATCAGGTTTAGTTGATATTAAATAAAGATAAATATTAAACAAAGTAGGATAGATAGGAAAGTGGGGGTATATCTCAGAAGAGTTGATGGGGGATCATGATCAAAACACATTTTGTCACATTCACAATGTAGTAAATAATTTTTAAACAAATAACAATACAATTTGATATCATGCTGTAGAAGACACAGTTATTGGTGAAAATTTATTACACTCAACTGCGAAAGGAAAATCATAAAGAACATCATTGATACGCAGGACTGTAACATGGGCCTAGAAGAATTCTGGTATTGCTCAGTTAATTTGCTCAAACCACTGTGATCCAAGAAAATGTAAACAAATATCCTCTGATTTGGGCTATGTCACCATTAACACAACCGCTTATTCCATGGTGAAATGAACCACAAAGACAAATTACTCCTGTGCTAATGGAAATGCTTAGTTCTGCAGCTCAACAGAAAATTAACATAAACCTATAATCATTGTTTATGATTTAAAAACAAATATTTTAGACAGGATATGATTAACATGACGTGCACACATACTTAACTGAGATGCAAATGTTTAAACCTGAAGTTACCTTTGGTTTTCCTCAGTTCCTCCACAAGGCACTGTGCTTCCTCTTGAACACAGTCCTCAATGCTCCTTTTGCCCATGCCCAGATTCCTCAGAGTCATGAGTGTGAAGTTCCTTGTCTCTTTCCATCCACTTCCATTGCTAAAAATAATGCCTGAAGAAATGGTAAAACACTAGAAATAGATTCTGGAAACAGATGAGAGATCTGATAAGTGAAACCATAGAGAGGACCAACCCGTACCTCAGGAAGAAGTCCAGCCCCTCTTTTCAGTCTTCACCTTCACAGTCAACACTATGCAGCACTCACATGAACATGCGCAGTTACTTACCAAGACCTTTATTAAGTCTTTCTGCCATAGGTAAGCTTCCTCTTCCAGCAAACTCCTCCCCATGGTCAACCAGAGCTTCCTTCACTACTTCATACCCATGCAGCACCACAGTGGGCTTCGTGCCCAGGTACAGGGTGAACACGGGGCCATAGACTTTTGAGAACTGGAAATAGGAAAGAAAATCATAAATACTAGCAAGTAAAAGTCTCTTTAATCTTCATGGAGCCAACTTCATTCACACTAACATTATCACTCATTTATTTTAATATTTTTATTCAAAAAATCAGCTTCCAATGGTTCCGAAGCCTATTTATATCCCATTATGATGATTATCAGTTATTGATCATCTATAGGGAACCATGTACGACTAAGGTCAGGTACTTATTACACAAAGATTGCAAGGAATTTTCGCATTAAAACATCCAGCAAGAAGCTGGCCACCAAAACTCCATGTAGGCCACCTGCCTGTCTGTTGACTGGCCACAATCTCTCAGTGCCTGCCTACCCTACCCACAATCACCCATCTCATATTTCCCACCATGTCCCAGTCCCCCAAATCGGGCATAAATGCCCTGTTTGAACACAGGCCACTCCACTTTGATATGCAGAACTCCAGCCCACAGGTATGGAGATGCTCTACTCAAACACTCCAGCCAGAAGACCAGAGAAGAAGGAGAAACCAAGAAACAAAACACCCAATCTACTAAACTTCTGTATTTATAGATTGAATGCTATTCATCAGAATTCTGATGCCATATTTACAGGTTTAGGAAAACAACAGAGGACTTCATATGGGACAACAAAGAAACAAGAATACTCAAGGGACTCCTAAGAACTAAAATTCTGTTCAAGGTATAACAATACCTGACCTCAAATTATATCATGGAGCAATAGTGATATAAACAATCTGGCACTAACAAAAAAATAGAAAAGTAGACCAAAGAAATAGACTAAATGATGCAGAAATAAAGCAAAAATGCCAGGCCCAATTATATATGAGATGAAATCTTGTAAGTCAGCACAAAAGATTTGGTTGAGCAGTTCAGATTTGGCAGTCTGCTACTTCAAACAGAGAGTTGGCACCACAGACACTGCACATGAGCAAGCAATATTTCCTGGAAAGTCAGTTACTTCTCTTTCTGCATTCTTAGCCACAGGCTTCGGTTTTAGAAATATTAAAACTAGATATAAATATCACCAACTACACTGGAATCTTGGCATCTTTCTTGAATTTCTTGTGTTATTCCATATTCACTGCTACTTAGTTAAATTAGGCATCAGTCAGTTCTTTTAGAGTCCAGCATCAAATAGATAATCTCAGTAAACATGGATATCTAAAATTCTACCTGACTTACTGAGTAAACTATTTCTTGATATTGACCTTCAATCAAGTAATGGGAAAATCTGTTTAAGGGAGGAAATAATCACAAATTTTGCAATTTCTTGAGAATTGTTTTATAAAATGTCCTTTCACCTGAAACCTCTCACATTACTGAATGTTCCTACAATAGCCAGCTGTTTAAGTCATAAAGTACACAATCCTTTGAAAGGGTTTTGACTTCATGGTTATTTATACCAATACTGCCTCTGATATTAGATTTCCATCAAAAGTAGCTTTCAATGTATCTTCTTTATCAATGACTTGGAGGAGCACAAAGAATACTTACCTTAGTCAAGGATCCACTGATGTCCTTCAGATCTATTTGGAGGAAATTGCCAATAAGTGGGAGAGGAGTTGGGCCAGGAGGGAGCTTCCCTCTCTCAGAGCTCTGTCTCCAGAGTGAGAGGAGAACCAGACAGGAGAGACTAAACACCAACACCAAAACTGGATCCATGGAGACCCTTCTCACTGACACAGCTGTGATCAGCCAGCATGGGGCTTTTATAACACTATCTGCTGGATCAATATGTTCCTCTTGAAACATCATTGACTAACCAATGAGAGAGAGAGAGAGAGAGAGAGAGAGAGAGAGAGAGAGAACCTTTAATCTCCCTCTCTCTCTCAAGTAGACTTTGTCCTTTTGATAAGAATAAAAATAAGATGCACTTTACACATCCTTCTATACAAGATATCCATTTGAATTTCTGGTTTAAAAGTACTGATTATTGTCCAAATAGTGCTAATAAAAATAAACTAATGTATTTATAATATGAAACTACTCTTGAGAAGCAATGGATTAATTCTGAGATTTAAGAAAACTACTCAACATTTATATTCTCAGGTTAGTGCCCAGGAAGGAGATTATGACTTAAGAAGAGTTTGTATATTCTATGAAATATATTTCTTTTTTAAAAAAAAGTCTTACTATATAGCTTAGGCTGACCTCAAACTGACAATTCTACTACTACATTGTCTCAATGGCTAGAAATGCATTTGGGCACCACCATAGTCAGACATATTTTATAAAATTTTTTGCTATATGAAATATTTGAACATATTTTTCAACAATGTAAGACGTATAGCTCTTCATTTCACTCTTTGACCATTTATAAAACCAAGATAACTAAGCATAGCTATCAGTAACACATCTTGAATCCAAAAATGTATATTAACCTTTTGGCTAAAGAATGTTCTGTGATTTTCAGTGTTGTGTAGTTCAAACATGAAAGACGTTTTTTTCCTAAAGGTGATAGGACAGAAAGAACTATCAATGTCTCAAAGCACATAGCAGGAAGAATTTAGAAATCAAAGTGTCTATCTAAGTGTTGTACTTACTCCCCTAGCATTACCATGGATTCTCAAAGACAGGTATTTGAATTCTCCTAGTCCAAGCAGTACAGAAATAAACCTGGATAAGCACAATAGTCTATAGTCTGTAACAATAATTGATATAACCTAGCCTCCCCCAAAACAGCACCACCAAGTGGGTACCAAGTATAAAAATGCCTGAGCCGAAGGGGGCAATTATAAGTTTTAACCCACATTTTTGCATGTTACCCCCTTCCATGCATAAAGACATACAATTCAATTATACCCATCATAAATTCTTAACTGTGAAATATGGCACTATGCTGATCATAATCACTAACATTCATGGGACCATGAACCTAGTTAACAATTATGTAATCATTGATTTAACATAGATGTCAGAAAAGGTTGCCCAAGTTTTGCAATCTTGCTCAAACATTACAAAAAAAGGTTCACAGGGAGCTAAGATAAATTTCAATAACACAAAGTCATTGTTATCCTCATTATCCACAACAAAGAAAACAATAAATAGTTGCCCAAATCATATTGCTGTAAAATCCCAAAGAATAGGTTTGAATAAAACAGTGTCAGTAGATTACTTTTCATGCCTGGAGGGATATTGGTCTGGCACATTTGTAAGTCAGCATGACGCTTTGGATCACTTTTCCTTTTATAAAATATAAGAACTGATTAATACTTAAAGAGAGATGGGCCTCTCAGCTCAACTTGTCTGCATTTTGCTTTGCTCTTTAAGGAAAGAGCTGATAGTAATACATGGAGCATAACCAATCACCGTAACTCAATGAAGGATGATTTGTCTCTTTAGAAAAGTTTTAATTCACAATTCATTTGTTAACTTCTCCCTATTCTCATCAACATCACATAATTTTAAAACAGTATGTTGGTATTTTATGGAAAAATTACTAGTGAATATTCATAACACAATTGAAAAGATTTTATAGTGGCATTTTTATTGAAGCATATCATGACTTTGACATTATACAAACCCTTTCTTCTTGATATTGGTTCCTCATCAATCTGACTCCCAGTCATCTTTCTCTTCTGAAAGAGTCCCTCTTCTGTGATTAAGAAATAGCTCTCACTCAAAGGAATAAAAAGGAATAGTTTATTCTGGAGCCAAATATGAGGTACAATGACTGAGAAAACTGGGACAGTGTTTCCCACAGCACCTTGTTCCACCATGGGAACAATTTCAAAAAAATAAAAAACAAAGACATTTGTCAAATTTACCAATGGAAGCCTTTTCGGTAAGATGATTATGAAATGTAGAGAAATCTCAGGTACAGGTCTCAGATGCTCTCTTACATTCTCAGCATTTTGGTTGGTAGAAGATAAGGATCTATTTATATATTCAAAAAGATTACCTAATACTCACAAAGAAGATAGGTCATATAAGGACAGCTTCATCTATGCCAGACTCCAAGGGGGCATTTGGATTACAAAGCCAAATGAAAATCATTTCCTATAAGGAAGAAGTTAGTTGCACCCATAATAGTTGCTTCATCATTACATCAATTGGAACATCTTCCTGGTAAGGTGGGGAAGACACAAATATGCTCCAAAACTGAATAGAACTATTGAAGACAAGTTTCCACTAAGATCTTGTGTGGTAACTTCAAGAAGTATAAAATCTGTCCAGAAAAGGGGAAGCTTCCCACTCACCTCTAGTCAGATTTCTCCACACACTTTACCAAAACTATGAGGCGCTTTCAGATATAGTATTTTACTGTCTAGCATGCAGCCAACAACAGTTGCAATAACCTTATGATTGGTGGATTTCAAAGATTTCTTTAGCCAAAAATTCTTGGGGAGGCAACACAACATAACATACCTGTGACACGTGGAAGTTACCTTATAGCCTATGGTTCCTGGGGATTCTACTTCAATCCATGCATGATTTCCTCATATACACTCTACAACCACTGTCTATTTCTGTTCTAAATTATTTACAAATCTACAAGACATTCAAAGCTTACCCTCTTATGCCCAAATTTTGAAGATCCCCAGAGAACATCAAGGAGACAGAGTCACTGAACTGCAAATGCAAGGATTTATTATTTCATCCTACCAGTAGGGTCTCCATTTAGCAAGCTGATGCAGCAGCCCCCAGAAGGAATGAGGTCCCTTGCCTATTGCCAGAATTTTAAAAAATGATAAGATTGCATCCTATGGTATGAGGAGGTATCAGAGGTACACCAGTCAGATCCTGATTACTTGACATTTGGGGAACAATTAGAGGATTTTTCCAGAGTCAGGGCAACTGGCTTGCTAGCGTTTTTGATTGTTTGGAACAGTTGGTGGTTTCTATGACTTTGTCTGTTACTTGCAGTTAGTCTGTTCTCATTGGTTGGTGCTGGAAGGGAGCATTCTGTGGTATCTGTGACTTTGTCTGTCTCTTCGAGGTGTTTTGTCGTTAAACACAGTTTTCAGGTACTAGCTAAGTCTAAGAGGAAGGTTATCTTGGAGTTTTTTCTCACAACACAAGAACCAGAGGCTAGGGGACAGGATTTGTTCTGAAGGTTTTTCTAGAATCTTTACGTTTATATAGTTTCTCTCTAGTATGAATAAGAGTTGAATGGGAGCTTAAGGCTTTGCCAGATTCATACAATTCTTCTCCAGTGTGATTTATTAGAAATGAAGCCTTTGTGTTTAGTTTACCTCTGTCAATCCTATGTTAAAAATCCATTTAACATATTTCTGGCAGGGCGTTGGTGGTGCACACCTTTAATCCCAGCACTCGGGAGGCAGAGGCAGGTGGATCTCTGTGAGGCCAGCCTGGTCTACAGAGCAAGTGCCAGGATAGGCTCCAAAGCTACGTAGAAAAACCCTGTCTTGAAAAAAAACATATTTCTGAAGACCCATTACTGTACACAGTAAGAAAACACCAGTTGGTCTTGGTCAGCTAAGGGGTGAATTTTAAAAGAAACATTAACAAAAATATAATTAAAATGCCCCATAGTGTGTATCCATTTCTAAAGTGGAACAAAATGGACTGAGAACTAGATTGGCCACAGATAGTTTATTAAGAAAGTACTCACTCGATGGAGCCAGTCCTGGTCAGCCAGGCATGAGAGGGAAAGAGAGCTGCATGTGTGTGTCCCTGACACTTAAAGCCTTGCTATGTCACTCTGACCACATCCAAGTGGGCATGGTCAGCATCACCTGTGCCAGACCCCAAGGGGCATGGTCAGCATTTCCCCCCTACAAGTCCCCTTTTAGTCTAAAGGGGGATTAAAACTTAATAGTGTAAATTATATATAATTAACAATCATAAAGGTGAATTACAAGAATTTATAATAATCTACTATTCTCACATCTTAACTATACCTATTCCAACTAAACCTTAAAATCATCTGAAAAAAGATGTCGAAACTTGAACTCCTCTTTCCAAACCCAACCTTAAACAATAGGAAACTAGCCCTAACTAGGTGTCAACAGTGGGGAAGGGGGGGCATAATATTCTCCAACCTGGATGACTACAGCCTCATGGGGTTTTGTGGGGAGAAAATGTTAGTGTAGTGAAAGTATCTTGATGATACACTTTCTTGCAGTTTGATCCAGCATATATCCAGTCCACATCTGGTGAGAGATGCTTGATTGAAGTTCTTGTGTTGAAGTCAGTACCCGAAGTTCTGGCCAGAGTGTCAGTTGAAACAAAGCAAGTTGGATCCAGTGTACTCAAAGAGGTGGGGCCCATTTTCTTTCGGGAGTGTCCAGGGATTGCTGTCAGGCATTTCTTCATTGGCTGTGTGGGACTCAAACATAAATGTCATGTCAGCAGAGAAATTTTTACTTGTATATGTATGAATACCAAGAAAGGCAACAATTATGAGGGAATGTATACCTTGAAAGAAAGAGCCAAGAAAAGATAAATGACTGTCCCCAATATTTCTCCTGTTCTATATTACATCAATTGGCTTCTTGATATATACAGAAACTCTGAAGTTCATTTTAACAATGTGGTTGCATTTAGAGGAGTAAAGCCAAATTCAACTCTAAAGCCAGCATTGGTTTAATTGAATAGGGACTAAGAAATAAAGAGAAATAGAGTTCTCTGAGAAAAAGCTGTAGAGTTCACCATATAGCACATTCCTTTGGATTGATGGTTACAGCTACCTTCTATTC